CGGCGATCGCCACTGCGCTCGACGCCGCATCCGGCAAGACGAAGCCGCGCCAGCGCAAGCTCGGCTGGATGGACTGGTTCCTCGAGAAGACACCGCCAGGCCGCAAGCTGCTCTTCGACCAGGCGACCAAGGCGATGCTCAAGCAGACGAAGGGCAACTACCCGGCGCCGCCCGCGATCCTCGAGTGCGCAGACGGCGGGGCGACGGGAACTGCAAGAGTCACCATGAATGATCATGACTAGGCCCCGCCCGCGATCCTCGAGTGTGCGAAGGCGGGCCTCGAGGCGGGGCACACGGCAGGCTCCACCGTCGAGCGGCAGCTCTTCGGCAAGCTCGCCGCGACGTCTGAGTCCGCCGCGCTGCGCGGCATCTTCTTCGGCGCGACCGCCGCCAAGAAGAACCCGTTCGGCAAACCCGACAAGAAGGCGAGACGCTTCCTAGACACCTCCTAGACACCCCCTAGACACCCCCTAGACACCCCCTAGACACCCCCTAGACCCCGTCCGGCAAGCCCGACAAGAAGGTGGGCAGATCTGGGGAGAGATGGAGAGATCTGGGGAGAGATGGAGATCACCCTTTCGGCAAGCCCGTCGCCAGTCGTGTAGTGCCTCTCCCTCTCCTCTACGGCCGCTCTACCCCTCTCAACAGGTGGAGACGATTGGCGTCCTCGGCGCCGGACTCATGGGCGCGGGCATCGCGGAGGTGTCGATCGGCAAGAACTTGCGCGTGCTGATGAAGGACAAGGACCAGGCGGGCCTCTTACACGCGGCGAGGACGTGATCTCCCCACATCTCCCCACATCTCCCCACATCTCCCCCTCTTCCAGGCGGGCCTCTCGCGCGGTGAGGACATGATCCTCAAGTCGCTCGGCGCCAAGCTGAAGAAGAAGCGCCTCACCACCTACACGCACGACGCGCAGGCCTCGCGGCTCACCGACGGCTCGATCTCCCCATATCTCCCCCACATCTCCCCCACATCTCGCAGGCCTCGCGGCTCGTCGGGCTCACCGACGGCTCGCCCGCGTGGAAGAAGCACTTTGCGGGCGCCGACATGGTCATCGAGGCGGTCTTCGAGGAGATGTCGGTCAAGCACAAGGTGGTCTCACACACGCTCACCCACGCGCACCAGGCCTTGCACTTTGAATGCCGCGGGGCTCCTGTCGTCTAGACGTGGAGTCGCGAGGGACCAGCCTGGCCCCTTGCCCCACCACCTCGTGTGTGTGGAGAGGCTCACCTTTTACTCGCCGTGCCCCACTAGGTGGTGCGCGAGATGGAGGCCATCGTCGGCCCGCACTGCATCATCGCGTCAAACACGTCCACCCTGCCGATCGGCGAGATCGCGTCGGTCGCGCAGCGGCCGGAGAACATCGTGGGCATGCACTACTTTTCGCCCGTGCCAAAGATGCCGCTGCTCGAGGTCATCACGCACGACAAGACCGCGCCCGCCGTCGCCGCCGCCGCCGTCGAGGTTGGCATCCAGCAGGGCGAGACAGCCTAGAAGCGGAATATGTGTTCTTGTATTCCAACTAGCATTGTTCCGTACCCCTCGTCTTCACGCGGTGCTCTGAACACACTGCACGATACCGTCATCCCGCCCCGAGGTTGGCGTACTCAGCACGTAGGCAAGACGGTGATCGCGGTCAAGGACGTGCCCGGCTTCTACGTGAACCGCTGCCTCGGCCCCTTCCTCACGGAGGCGATGGCGCTCACGCAGCAGGGCGCCGACCCGCTCGCGATCAACTCGGCGCTGCTCGACTTTGGAATGCCCGTCGGCGGCGTGACGCTCTGCGACGAGGTCGGGATCGACGTGTCGCGCCACGTCGTCAACAACCTGATCGGCGACCAGGCCAAGGGCTACCTCGGCGCGTGGAGCCTTGGGAGACGCGCCGAGGCCGCGAGGTTGCGCGAGATGACGCGAGGTTGTGCGCGAGAATAGGTGTGCGCATGGAGGGCGCCGACTTGCGTATGCTCGACCGGTTCGTCGAGGAGGGTCTGCTCGGCCGCAAGGCGCGGCGCCGCCCGAGAGGACGCACGAGCACACGCCAGAGCACACGCCGGATAAGAAAAGGCGGCAGGCCACGCCGGAGCACCAGGACCCGTCCCCAACCGCTCCCGGCCCCGCCACCCAGGCCGGCCGCGGCTTCTTCGACTACTCGGACCCGAAGGCCAAGAAGAAGCCGATCAACAAGGACGCGCTCGCCATCCTCAAGGAGCGACAAGCCCCCCCCCCCCCCCCGCCCCCGCCCCCCCCGCCCCCCCTTCACACACATCTCGAAAGACAAGTCCACACCCCCCACACCCCACCCTCCTCTCGCCGCCGCCGCCCTTCCCTCCCGACCCGGCCACGCCCACGGCACGCACACGCACACGGCGCGCCCCCTGACGCGCGGGCGCTCGCGACCCCCTTTGGCGCAGGAGTTCCGCGACCCCGCCAAGGACGCGTCGCAGCTGTCCAAGGAGCAGCTCGTCGAGAGGATGATGATGCGCTTCATCGTCGAGGCGCTCTACTGCCTGCAGGACGGCGTCATCCGCAACGCGCGCGACGGCGACGTCGCCGCCGTGATGGGCATCGGCTTCCCGCCCTTCCGCGGCGGCCCCTTCATGTACATCGACAAGCTCGGCGCGGACCACGTCGTCAGCAGGCTCAAGGCGCTCGAGGCGGAGCACGGCGCGCAGTACGCGCCGCCCGAGATCCTGCTCAAGCACGCCAAGGACGGCACGCCCTTCATCTCCTCTGCGCCCGAGCCGGAGGCTTGAGCCCGCCCGCCGGCGTGTATTGGTGTCTGCGCCGCCCGGCAAGCGGCTTGCGGCAAGGGTGTGCGCGCGTCTGCTGTCCTCGCTCCGAGCACCCCTCCTGCCTCCACTGTTTCGTGTTTGCTCTTGAGATGTGGCTCCTGTGCGCTTGGAGACGGAGGTGTGAATTGACTATTGTTGTCCTGGTTGTGGTTCTCTTGCCGTATGTACGAACAGTCAAAACTCAAATGAGAGAGTCCTGGCTCTCCTGTGCCCGGCGGCCGCCCCGCCCCCCCCCCCCCCCCCCGGGGGGGCCCACCGCGGCACCACCCCAGCACACACCAGTCACCACCCACTCCACACACTTGATCACTGTCACTGTCCACAGGCGTAGCCTGCCAGTCGGCGCGCCAGCCTCCACACGCCGCACGCGAGGGCCGTCTAAGCGACTCCTGCGAGGAAGGCGAGGCACTAATCTCCGTGCACTCGACCGCCCTCGCCACAGGCAAGCTCATTGACGATCTGCTCTGCGATGGCCGGGTGTGACGCATTCAGGCATCAGCCTCGGTGCCTGGTCGCAGCCGGACCGTCTTGCGACTTAGCCGGAGCGCTGAGGCAGTTGGCTGGCTCGATAAGGTCGACGAACACGGGGCCGAGCCCATCGTGCCTTATTATGAAGCACGAGGTGAAGAGCGTTGCTGCAAAGGCGAGGCAGAAGGTGACGTAGGCAAAGTGCTTCGAGAGCGACTCAATGCCACCGCGGAGCACCATCGCCACGTCGCGGCGGCTGCGCGTCAGGCAGTAGAGCAGCTCGAGCTGCACGAGCGCCAGCCGCAGGAGCAGCAGGACGACCATGACCCACTCCTGCTGCTCCCAGTCGATGCCGGCGGAGCAGCGGTAGATGAAGTAGTGGTCCTTGTTGATGTACGTGCGGATGAGGGTGGTGTGGACGAGGTAGATGACTGGCGCGGCCAGCCCGGGGATGTGGCCCATCCTGTGTGGCGGTGGGGGTGTGGGAGGGCCGCGCAAGGGAACGCGAGCTTGCGTGTGTGTTGAGAGAGACACCAGCTTAGGTAGAGCTCGTCCGGGTCGCCGTCCTGGTAGGCGTCACGCAGCCGCTGAACTGTGAAGAAGGCGGAGACAATGAGGATGACGCCGATGACCATCATCGGGTCATCAAAGGTGCCCATGACCAGCGAGGCCTCGAAGACGCAGATGAGGTGGAGCTCCGTACTCTCCAAGACGCTCACGCCAAGCAGACCCGCCTGCCGCAGCATCCAAGGGAGCAACGTGCCGAGGGTTCCGACGAAGAGCGACTCGACGAGTACAGGCACGGAGATGTCGTGGACCCAAAGCAGGGCCGTCCCCTCAAGGGTCGATGGCACTACTTGCGTCAAAATTGCACCTGTGACGGTGGGTACGAAGAGAAGGAGGATGGGCAGGCAGAGGAGCACGTTGAGAGTGCCGACGCACGCGAAGGTCCAAAAGGAGCGACGGGAACGTGGGAGTATAATGAAGAACCAAGCACAGTCCACGAGGGTAAAGGCGACCGGGGCACCGTAGAAGAGCACTAGGCTGTTCTCCATCTCAGAGCCGAAGTAGAGGCCAATGCCAGAAAACGTCGCGCTGAAGGCAATCCATGCGATGGCCAGCGCCATGGGATAGCGCCATCCGCCTCCGCGACAGTGGACCAGCAGCCCCGAGTGCTTGAACTCCGACCACTCCGCCGCACCCGGCGAGAGCTCCCCGCTAGCGTCTGGCTGCTGGAACAGAAATTCGAGCCGGTCCCAGTTGGTGATCGCCCAGAGCGTGGCAAAATTGCCGCAATACACGCCGTAGTACACGCCATTCGCACCGACTCCGGCGGAGGCAGGTGCGAGCGGCAGCAGCAGGACGGGTAGTGAGATGGCGATGGCGAATGCTATCACAAGGACGCACATGCGAAGATAGCGGGCATACTCAAGGAGGAGCGTTGTGAGCGCGACTGACGACGCTGTGCTTGCGTAGCGAGTGCGTAGCTCAGCTTTGCTATTCAGTTTCTTCGTTGACGATTGCACTTTCATGCTCTCTAGATCGCGTGAAGCAGTTGCCTGCTCGCCATCGAACAGCGGCTTGGAGTCGTCGTTCGATTCGGGAATCGGATCGTAACGATGCGGTACCGGGCTGCCTGGGTAATAACCGGCCTCTGCGCGCTTCTGCTGGAGAAACGCCCTAGGCGGCGGTTTGGACTTAGGCCGCGCCACCATCACGCTGCTCTGCCGCCGACTTTGGCTCACCGAGGGCGATTTGTTTCTCTTTTTTGCACGCTGGGCAGTAAATGTTTTTGGAGAGCGGTCCTGTCTTCCCGCTTGGACGTGCAGCTCATCGTTGGTCTACTGGGTTGGGGTTTTATGCTCATGGCGAGCGCCGTCCAGAGCCGCACCGACAGACAGTCGTTGCATCCCACGGGAAACGATCAGTCTCGCTCGCGATCTTGAGCCCGCCCGCCACCCACCCACCCAACTCCACAGCCCCCCCGCCTACCCGCCCCGAGCCTCGCCTACACAGATAAAAAGAAATCAGGGGCCGCTGCAACAAGAGATGGTGCTGTTCAAGGGCATGTGCATGCTTGGGGACAGCCTGCCGGACCGCTGCTGCACGGGGCTAAGCACCAGAAGAGGAATGTAGTTGATGGATCGGGCTATCGTCCGTGCCTCCCCTCTTTGCGTCAGAGTGGGACCTACGCCGCGCCGGGTAAGGGGCGCGCCCGGTCCTCGACGGAGCCGCAGCAGGCTGTGCGACTCTCTCGCATGTGTGACGAGGCGGTATGACGGCACGTGTGCGACTCTCTCGTGCATGTGCATGTGCATGTGCATGTGCATGTGCATGTGAGAGATTTTTAGCAATACCAAACAACTCTAACACTCACACTTGTTTTTTGTTTTTTGGAAAAATAATTTTTGCATGTGCATGTGCATGTGCATGTGCGTGTGACGAGCAGTAACAGTAACAATAAGAGGTAGCGCTGATTCGACGACTACACCGTACACCGAGGGCGGGGAGGTGGCAGGTGGGGGCCAAACCGAGCGGCCCACGGAAATGTTCACACAGGTCGACAGAGAGGACGTTAAAACGTTCAGACTAGACTACACCGTACTCGAGCGGCGAGTAGACAAGTGGGGCACACTCTCCTACGCTACCTTTAATGTGGGGGGAAAACGTTCAGACCTTGCGCTTGAGCCGCCACACATGTCCCTTTCCGGTGACGAAGACGTCGCCGCCGTCGCCGAACCTGACGTTGGAGATGTTGGTGCCCAGCTTGACCGAGGCGAGCACCTTGGGCGCAACGGGGTCGATGACGGCGATGCCGCCCGGCACCGAGCTCCAGATCCGGCCGAGCTCGTCCACCTTGAAGCCGTCGGACAGCCCCGGCCCGAGCTGCACGCCGGCGCCGAGCTCCTTCTCGCCCAGCACCGCGCTGCGCTCGAGCGGCAGCGCCTCGCGCAGCGGGAAGGCGTGCCACGACGGCGTGTCCTTGACCGAGTTGGCCACCCACAGCGCGCCCCCGTCGGCCGAGAACGCAAGGCCGTTGGGGCGCTCGAGCAGGCTCGTCACGAGCTCGACCGCGCCGCCGGCTCGGCAGCGGTAGACGCCGGTGCAGCCGGCGCCGCGCTCCTGCACAGCCTGGTCCAGGTACGGCTGGTCGGGGTGCCCGAGGTGCATGAACTGCTTGAGCAGGAAGCCGTACACTGAGTCCGTGAAGTAGACATCGCCGCTCGGCGCAACCACCACGTCGTTGGGCGCGTTGAACGGCTTGCCGTTGGGCGCCGTGTGTGCCAGCACCTCGAAGGCCGCCTCGCAGATCTTCCCACCGTTGAGCTTCTTGAGCTCGGCGAGCTTCATGCGGATGACACGGCGCGTCGGGTGCTGGCAGATGGTCAGCTCGTCGCCCACGAGCGCCATGCCGTTGGCACCGGGCTCGAAGAGCTGCTCAAAGTCGGGCACGTTGCTCCCGTCGTAGCCGCCGGCCTCGGTCGCCACGATGGTGGTGCCCTCCGCCTCGGTCCAGCGGTAGATCCGTGCGTCCACCGTGTCGACGAAGTAGAGCGCCTTCTCGCTGGCCTCCCACACTGGGCCCTCGCTCCAGCGGATGCCGGACACGAGCAGCTCGACCTCGGCGGAGGCGAGCACGCCCGCGTGGTCAGCGACCTCTGCGGTCGCGGCGTGCGGCTTGGTTGCGATTGGCGGGTCGAGGTCAATCTCGTACCCCTTGGAGTTACCGCACCCCATCACCACCAGGTCTCGGGCGGGCAGCAAGCTTGAGAGCAAATGGCGAGCAGGGGCATGGTTGCACCACAATCGCACCTATCTCTTCAGGCGCCATCACAGCTGTGAACTGTGAACATGAACTCGTCGAGCGTTTGCTGTTTTGGCGACTGAGGGGAAGCCGAGGTTGAGGGGGACGTGCGATTGTGGTGGCGGCTTGCCGTCCTCTTCGGGTTGCCTGTTTTCTTTGAGCGCACTGGAGCACTGGATAGAGAAGAATTTAAACAAAAGAACTCTCTCTCACAGCAGACAGGCTCGACACAGGTGCGAACTGGCGCGTGCTAGTACTATCACAGGCACACCACCGGAGCCGCCTAAGCGACTCCGTTAAGAACGGCAATGCACTTAGCACCGTGCACAATTTGCCGCTGTCCCCGCACGCTAGCTCGTTCACCGTCTGCCACGCCACGGCGGTGTGGAGAACGACAGACAAGCGCTGCATCTCTGCAGCCCGTGCCAGTTCTTGGTGGTCCATGTGACCTCATCGAGGTGCTGAGCGTGCGAAAGTTTGTTACTCAGCTGGTCCGCCGCCTGCCGAAGAATTTTGCGGACGCCGTTCCCGAAGCCGCCGAACGTCTCGATGAGCGGGCAGGGACGACGTATGGAGCGTGTCCGGGTGGGGCGATGAACCCCCTGAAAAAAGGGAATCTGTTAAAAAACAAAAAAACAGAAAAACTTCGGTGCCGGAAGGGTAGCTGATGGGTAGGCTGAGGGCGACTCGCTCGCAGCCACCCTGCAACTCGATCTGCATTCGGTCACACCGGCGCCATGCTCTTCCTCTCCACTCTCCTCATCTCTTCGTACACCGCCCCGCCTCCCAAGACCTCGGACCACCCCGGCTTTGCCCGCTGGATGGCAACCTCCCTCACCTGGGGAGTTCTCTCAACGACGTCGACTCGGTCGGAAGGGTCAACCAAAGGCGACGCCTTCGGCAACCCATGTGCATCTCCGCGAGCTGTAGCCACACAGTAGCAAGTGTGTATCCTGTCTACCCAGCCTCCGCCCAGCAACACACATGTGTCCATCCTCCTGCGGCACGCGCAGACTCCTTTGCGGATGTCGACGGCGTCCCCTACTTTTACGCGAGCGGCATGGACGCCTCGATGGTCGACCTCTTCGGCTCCGACGCGTCGAATTCCCGCGGCACCCTCTCCCTGACCGAGGCATCCTCGCTCGAGGAGGTCGCGGCGTGCAAGATTGGCCACCTGCTTGGTGACCCGGAGAACCCGCCCTGCGCCCGGCTCGTGCTGAGCGGCAGCCTCGCAAAGGTTGCTGCGGGCAGCGACGAGGAGACGGCCGCCAAGAAGGCGCTCTTCGCCAAGCACCCGTCCTTCAAGATGTACCCGCCGGGCCACGCCTTCTACGTCGTGAAGATGGAGGTGGACGGCGTTTGGCTGATCGACGCCTACGGCGGCGCGGCGACGCCCTCCGCAAAGGAGTACCTCGACTACAAGCCCTCGCTGGTGTGAGCAGAGGAGAGGTCTCGCTGACAGCGACAGCACGCTTCGGGGCGAGAGCAGCGCCTCTCGCCACCTGATTGGATCCGTCGATTACACATGGCCCCCGGGGCGATGGTGGCATGGCCGTGCTGCGTACGGAGCTCTACGTCACTCGTCAGTATGGATCGACATACAGTGTGCATGTTCTGTGCTCTCTAGTAGACTCTTCCTGTGTGCTATGTGAGCATACATACTGGGGGTTGGCGGTTGCTCGTTGAGCTTTTACCAGGAGCGCGTACGTGACAGGGAGTTGGGCTCTCGAGTACGGCTTTACACGCGCCTATCGTAGAGGGAGCGGACCGTGAGTTGAGGAAATCCGGGGACGCGACCCACTTCGCCACAGACGGTCCCGTGCCTCGCCGCTAAGACGGGTATACGGCCGCGGCTCGTGTGCGTGTACCCGTCTTTGTCCGGAGTGAAAAGTCCAACGCGCTCGTCGGTGACGGCGTCCCCGGATTTCGCCGCGCTCGGCGAACCTCGACAGCGCTTTCGGTGGCATGCAGCTCTTTGCGCCTGAAGCCTGGAGAGCAGCTCCTCTGCTGCTCACACACTCTGCACAGTTGACACAGCCTACTGTGCGGCTGCCACAGCTGTGACAGCGATGGGCTCGCCCTCACTGGCCCTCAGTCACTTGTGCTGCGGCTTGTGTGAGCGACACTGCTCGGCGACTGCCGGCACACTGTGAGACCGTGGGTGTGAGGTAAAACCACGCTACCAGCGCTTGGTCACATCGGCCCCGAGGTCAGATCCATCTACTCTGTTGATGACAAGACTTGTCTACTGGCTGGAGCCGAGCAGGAGGGCCCAGCGCACAACCCCTGGTCAACTCAGGGTCCACACCCCGTAAGGCTAAGGGGTAAGGCCGTACATAGTATCGAGATAGTGTGGTTCTCGTATCTCGAACTCGATAGACGATAGACGATACCCATTACCTCCCGCGGCTTGCTGCACTCAGGCTGTGTGAACTCCACTGTGTCCGGGGTGTGTTTTAGTGTGAGGACGGACCTCGGACGGACGGAGTACGGAGACACTCCACTCGAGTCGAGGTGTCGACGCGCTGCATGCCATGGGTCTCACAATAAAAAACACGTACATAGAGAGCCACCACACAAAGTCCACACGTGAGACCCATGGTCATTTTACTTTTTTGTAAACACGGCGTGAGCCTTGGGCTTGGCCGCCTCTGTCAGTGTGCCCGTGGTAGGAGAGACTGCCAGTGAGAAGCTGGAGGAAGGTCGCTAGTCGAGAGAGATCGCCAGTGGAATAGGGAGTCCACCGTGCTGCGAACCTGTCGCTGTCCCCTTGTCAGGAGCAGGAGAACTAGGAGAGCGCAACCAGTAGGAGGCCCGCGCCTGCCCCCGTGCCGCCGCCCGCCGGGTCCCGGGTGCAACTTTTTGTCCTATACGAGAGGGGAATCCCTGGGACCCTGTCGTGTGGATGAACCCTGCCCAGCCCCCCTCCGTGTCGCGATGCGCTCCCCGCTCCCGTTCCCCTGTGTCCCTGATCGTCCTTACACAAGATCCTGCTCGTGCAGGTGGGGACCCTGTCCTTCTTCCCACACCCCTCTTGCGTTTGGTGTGTCCGTTTTACGATTTATATATTTATTGGAGACTTTTTTCGTTCTTCTTCCTTGTACCGAACTGCCGTGGAGGAGTGGAGGACTAGCAGTCTACCCGCCCTCCTCCTCCGCCGCCGCCCCGTGCTCCCTGAGCCACTCCCGCGAGCGCAAGTCCGCCTGCCTCACGCGGCGTCGGGTCGAGACGCCGCCGCCTCCGCTGCGCGAAGCCGAGGGCGGGGCGGCGTGGGGCTGACGCCTCAGCAGGCGTCAGCCGGGCGCGGTGCCAGATGCGCGCGTCATGTCCTCCTCTCAGCGGCTCTCTATGAGCGCTGGGCCGCGTCCGCCGCCTTCCTTGCAGCGGCCGCCTTGGCCCTCGCAGCGGCCGCGCGCCTCGCCTTTGCGGCGGCCATCGCCGCCTCAGCTGCCGCCGTGGCCGCCTCAGCTGCCGCCGTGGCCGCCTCCGCTGCCGCAAGTGCCGCGGCCGCGGCTTCCTCCTCGGCCGCGGCTTCCTCCTCCTCCGCCTCTGCCTCCTCCTCCTCTTCCTCCGCCTCCTCGGCCAACCGCTCCGCCTCGACCATCTCAGCTAAAGCCACTGCCTGGCTCTCCGCCGTGATGCCGAGCCGGATCCTCTCCTCGTGACAACTTTCGAGAAGCCTGATCAATCTCTCCTCCTCGGCCTTCGCGGCCTCGGCTGCGGCTGCCTCTGACAGCGCCTCGGCGCCCTCTGATGGCGCCTCTGCACCCTCCACCGCCGCCTCGGGCTCCTGCGACGGCCCGGCGGCGCCGCTCCCGCCGCCCTTCTTCTTCTTCTTGCCCTTCTTGCCCTTGCCGCGCTTCTCCGCCTCGACCTCCGCCAGCAGCTCCTCGGCGTGCCGCGCCGCCTCCGCCTCCGCCGCCGCCCTCTCCGCCGCCCTCTCCGCCGCCCCCGCAGCCCACGCCGCCTCCTTCGCCGCCTTCTCGGCCGCCTTCTTGGCTGCTGCCACGGCCGCCGCGTGCTCCTCGAAGGCGCGCACGCAGCTGGCGCTGCCCTCCTCCTTGGCAAGTTGCAGCGCTGTGAGTCCAGCCGCCGAGCGCAGTTCCGTGTCGGCGCCCGCCCGCAGCAGGCAGAGCAGGACGACGGAGTGGTCCCCGAGAGCGGCGAGCATCAGCGCGCTGATGCGGCCTTCGCTGTTCTGAAGGTGGACCGAAGCCCCACGCTGCAGCAGCGTCGCGGCCAGCCGCTCGTAGCCGTAGATGGCGGCGAACATCAGCAGCGTGAGGCCGCTCACACCCTCACGAGTGAAGGTCGTGTCCACCCGCCCGCCGCCGTCGAGCCACGTCAGCACCGCCGCCTCGTCGCCTTGTATAGCCGCCTCCACGACCTCCTCGGGGACGGCGTCCTCGCCCGTTCCGCTCTCCACGCCGCCAGAAGAGGACGCGGCAGTTGGTGCCGCCGCCGCCCCCTTGCCCGAGGCGGCACCGCCGTCCGCCCCCGCGCCGCCCGCCTCGACGATCTCCTCGGGAACAGGCCCGCTGCTGCCGCCCGAAGCGCCGTCCGCCCCCGCGCCGCCGGCCTCGACCGCCGCCGCGTCGCGCCTCTCCGCCGCCACCTCGCCGAGAAACGTCTTGACGGCGGCGGTGCACTCGGTGTGGCCCCTCGCCTTAGCGATCTGCAGCGCCGTGTCGCCGTCCGCAGTGCGCAGCGCCATGTCTGCTCCCGCGCGTAGCAGGCGGAGCACGACATCAGGGCGACCATGGAAGGCGGCGTTCGTGAGCGCAGTGTAGCCGTTGCAGTCCTGCTGGTTGATCTCCGCGCCGTGCTGCAGCAGCAAGTCGACCACGCGCTCGTGGCCGTTGTTGGCAGCGAACATCAGCGCAGTGGTGCCGCGAATGCTCTGCAGGTTGATCTCCGCGCCGTGCTGCAGCAGCGTCTCGACCACCTGCACGTGGCCGTTGATGGCTGCGGCAATCAGCGCCGTGGCGCCGATGCTGTTTTGCGCGTCCGGCTTCGCGCCCCGCTTCAGCAGAACCTCGACCAATTGCTTGTGGCCTTTGCTGGCGGCGATCTTCAGGAGCGTCCAGCCACTCACACCGCCACGCACGCACGTCGCATCAACCCGCCCGTCCCCGACGAGCCACGTCTGCACCACGCCCGCCTTGCCGTTCACCGCCGCTGTCTCGATCTTTTTCGGCAGCGCGAGCGGCGCAGCCTGTGGCGCCGTGGAAGCGCGTCCGCGCCGGGAGGCGGCTGAGCCAGGTTTTCGGCCAGGCATGGGAGCGCTCGTCGTGGCGCCTGGAATAAAGAATTTTCGCGATCGCACTGGACTGGCGCGCACTGGCACTAACACAGGTACACCACGGGAGCCGCCTAAGCGACTCCTGCGAGGGCGGCGAGGCAGTTAGCTCCGGAATAAAGAAATTCAGCTGCGCCCTGGATCGCTCCCACCCCGATGTGCTGAGAACTGGGACGTGGGAGAGAGAGCCTACCCGCCCTCCTCCTCCGCCGCCGCCCCGTGCTCCCTGAGCCACTCCCGCGAGCGCAAGTCCGCCTGCCTCACTGGCTCGGGAATGCGGTGCCTCGAGCAGCGGCGGACCACGTCGAGGGCCGACGGGAGGGAGAGGCCGTGCCCGACCGACACGACGACGGGGCGGATGCCGCCCGCGGCGCTTGCCGGCTCGGACGTGCGCAGCAGCGCGCCTGCAAAAGAAGGGCGGTGACAGTCAAGAAATGGAGAAATGCTGTGGGAGCGGCCGCGGGTGGCCGAGCAACGCGCGCCCCAGGTGGCGCCGCTCGCGCCGACGAGGTTCGCGTGCGCGCCGCGCCTGCGGAGTCGTGGCATGCGAAGTCGTCGTCGCCTCCACGTCTCCCGCAGCTGTTTTCTACCGTTGGCCGGTGGCGGTGGCGGTGGCCGGGTCCCGGCGCCACTCCGGTCCGGTGGCCGGCGCCGAGTCTACCAGAGGGCGCGCGCCGGTCGAGCTGCGCCGTGAGAGCGGCCACCGTCCCCTTGGTGAGGCCGTCGACGCGGTGCAGCGACTTGCCCACTCCGATGGTCGGCACGCCGCTGAGGACGCCTAGAGAGGACGGCACCGAGGCGGCTCCGAGACGGGTCCAATCCAGTCCTGCCGGGAGAGGCCCGTGGACATCTTAGCTTGTGAGCCAGGGAAAGGGTTGGTTCCAATCATGGGCCACGCCGCTGTCGCTCGGACAGGCAGATGCTCCTCCCGACCTCGACGACCTCGGCTCCGTCTCCGGTAGCTCGCTCCCGACTCGACCTCGGTTCGATCTCGGCTAGAGGTCGCCGAGGTGGCAAGCGAGGCCAAAGCGGTTCGGGTGCAGGACACCGTTGCCGTCGACGAGGATGGCGTCGGGGTAGAGGTGCGGCGCCGCCTCTCGCAGCTCCGCGAGCAGCTCGAGCAGGAAGCGGACCTCGCGGAAGGCCAGGTAGCCGGGGATGTACGGCTGCGCGGGCCGTACAGGGAGAGTGGGTGGGAGGCGGGGTGGCAGACAGCATTAGGGTCTGTGCGGCAGCGGTGGCGGAAACCGTGCATCTCAGGCTACGCGGGCCATGGCCGCACCGCTGTGAGCACGACGCGGCGGCACGACGTGTGGATGACCTCAAGCGTGGCGGCGTCGAGGACGACCAGCGCCGCGCAAGCGTCGGTCTCGCTGCCCTTGACGAACGACACGTCAACACCACCGATGCGGCGCAAGCGCTCTGGGTCGACCACGTCCGTCTCCGTAAGAAAGCTTCGGAGCCAGCGTTGCCGCAGCCACCACCAGCAGCGGAGCAGCCTACCGTCGCGGAGCAGGAGCGCGGAGCCGGCGAGGAGTGCGGGTAGCAGAGAGCGACGAAGGAGCCGCATAGAAAGGCGGTGGGGTGGGCTGCGAGTACAGCCACGCCTGCTATTCACATCATTGCACAACTCCGGACCCAAGACGCACAAGCACAGACAGTCGCTATTCACAGCACAAGCCCTCGCCGGGGGCTCGAGCATGCGCAGCGAAAAGCAAAAAAGTGAGGCGTGGTCTGTACTCGCCAGGTGGGTGGGAATGCCGCCCAGCAAAAAAAGAATTTTCCTCCGCCCCAAAAAATGAAAAAAATAATGCCGTCCTCCCTGCTCCCATCCCTCCCTTGGGTTGTCCGTTTTCTTTCTTTCTGAAAAAATTAATCCCACCAGGGGTAAGGTAAGGTAAGGTAAGGTAAACTTCTCCACACACACGAGGTGGTGGGGCAAGGGGGGGCAACCCTCGCGTCTCCACGTCTGACGACAGGAGCCCCACGGCATTCAAAGTGCAAGGCCCAGTGCGCGTGGGGTTGTCTGCTCTACTTATTTCTTTACCCTGGGACCTCTCTGCCCAGTCCGGGGGTGCGTCGAACCTTCCATCACCCTGTCGGAAGCGGCGTGCCGGTGGAGGCACGTCCGGGTTTTGGAAGTAAAGATATATTACTTATTACTTTTATTTATAATGAAAAAATCTTTCAGTCGGCACTGCGCGCCGCGGTCACGCGCGGGAGCCAGACACGGCCGCTGAAGGCGACCGCGCGGATGAGCTGGAAGAGACCAAAGGTCCGCCAGATGGCCGCCGCGGACGAGGCTCGCGTGAGCATGAATGGGAGCAACGCGACGGAGGAGAGGTACACCACCGACAGCGCGCCGAGGCTGCGCCGCGCGAGCAGCGTCCCCTCCGACGCGGTGACGGCGCCGGTGAGCAGGGCGGCGATCGCGAGCGGGGCCGCCAGCGGGCGCATGCCTAGCGAGGAGGGGCACCGTGCGATCTGAGCGAGGGGGTGTGGCATCGTGCAGCGTGCCCAGAGCACCGCCTGGGCACACTAGAAGTAGTCGCTTGCTCCCAGTGTGCCCAGAGCATCGCGTGCATGCCAGGGCTGCCAAAGACATCCGGAGACAGCCGAGTGCGCGTCGTCTCGCGTGCTAGTTGGAGCACGGGGGTGCTAGTTGGGGGTCTGTACCCAGAACTCTAGGCGGCGCATGCCGAGGGCGACGGCCGCGTCGTTGGTCAGGAGGCCGGTGCCGAAGAGCGGCAACGCGCCGCCCGCCAGCGCGGCGCCGACGGCGACGGCCATGGACAGCCGCAGCAGACGCGCCGCGACGGACGCCTCCGCGTCTCGCCACGCAGCAACCTTTGCGCCGTCGGGCGGGCGCGCGTATGGCGGGAGGAAGGCCTGCGAGATAGCGGCGAGAATACTCCGCGAGATTCCGCGAGATTCCGCGAGATTCCGCGAGGTTGTCCGAGATGGTCCGAGATTTCTCGAGGGGTTTCCCGAGGGTTCCCGAGGTTGCCCAAGGCTGGGAGGGAGGGAGGGAGGGAGGGAGGGAGGGAGGGAGGGAGGGAGGGAGGGGAGGGAGGGGAGGGAGGGGAGGGAGGGGAGGGAGGGGGAGGTCGGGGATAGCCTGCGCGGTCTGCGAGACGACCTCGAGCAGCGGCGACAGGAAGAAGAAGGTGGTGAGGGCGAGCTGGTGGCAGGCGAGCGGCAGCTCGCCCAACCGCGCGGCCGAGTAGGTCATGAAGCCGAAGCAAGTGATCTTCCCCAGGATGAGGGTGAGGACCGGCGCGGCAAAGAGCAGGAACGTGCGAGACGAGACGCCGCCGCCGCCGCCGCCGCCGCCGCCGCCACCGCCGCCGCGGGCTGCCGTCGCCGGCCGCCGGCGTGGCACGAGCCCGAAGCCTCCGTCCGGCACCAGCTTCTTGCGCGCGACGAGCAGCAGCGAGAGAGTGCCCGCGCACTGCGCGACGGACGTGGCCCACGCGGCGCCCGGCACGCCCTGGCGGAGGAGGACGACCCCGACCAAGTCGAGCCCGACGTTGCAGACAGCAGCCACCGCCGAGCCGAGCAGCGGCGTGAGCGAGTCCTATTCTTCGCACCACCGTCTTCTTCTTCTTCTTCTTCTTCCACCGCCGAGCCGAGCAGCGGCGTGAGCGACTCCTTCGCCCCGAGCAGCGCCGCAGACAGGACGCCGCTCAGCAGCGCTGCCGGCAGGGAGAGGGCGCGAATCCGCACGTACGCCACGGCGGGGGCGAGGATCGCGGCGTTGGACGCGGTCTCGGCGCCCACGTACAGAGAGAGCAGCGGCGGAGCGAACGCGACCAGCACGAGCATCGCGAGCCTACGTGACATGTCTCGGACATGTCTAAGAAAGGTCCTGGGCATGTCCAGGCAGCACGAGCACTCGCGAGCCCTCCCGATCTCCCTACATCTCCCTACATCTCATCACATCTCCCCACATCTGAGCCCACCCGAGTCGAGTGAGCCTCAGCACCAGCCCCTTGCGCGCTGCTCCACCCACACGACGGCGAGTCGCGTGACTCTTCCCAGCGTGCAGCGGAGAGGAGTGAGTGCGCGCTCGGGGTGCGGAGTGTTGCGGCGCATCGCGGGAACCACCCGCGCTTTGAGCCGTCGTACCTCAGCCGCATCTATTTTCGCGCGCAGGCCGCAAGCCAAGCTCAGCCTCGCGGCGATGCGGACCACACTCTCCGAGTCCGGCGACGGGCGACCTGCGGCGGCGCCTTCGGCGGCGGCGGCGGCGGCGGCGCGCTGGGACGAGTACAGGTTGGTGGTGGCCACGTTGAGGAAGGCGAAAAGGTAGGCGGTGCCGTCGCAAAAGGTGGTTGCGGGCCCGAGTGCGGCGAGAGACGACGCGCCCTTCCCCGGGTGCGCCGAGAGTCCGACCGCGGAAGTGTCGATGAGCGAGAGGACCGGGCTGCTGAGCCACAGGCCTAGGCACGGCAGCGCAAACTCGCGGATCGCTCGGGCCGAGGGCGCCTCTGGAGGCTGCAAGGCGTCGGCGGCAAGGCGCGTGCGGCTGCGCGGGTAGGCAGCGTTCCGCCGTAAGACAGGGCCGCCGGAGCTTGGTGGAGGACGGCGGCCGGCGGCAGAGCTCGTGAGCAGGGCAAGCAGGAGCATGGGGAGGGAGAGCGACCTCGAGAGCAGCGAGCGCGCCGAAAGATTTTTCGAAAAAGAATTTTCGCATAAAAGAATTTTGCCGCCCAGCTTGTATACGCAAAAGAATTTTACAAAAGAGGTGCGCCCGGGGTTGTCTGCTCTATTTATTTATTGTCTTGTCATGTGGTTCTGTGTGTCGCTCCTGTGTGACCGTCACCGCCCGTCTAGCGTCCACCCATACCGCGTTGGTGTCCCAGTCGTTGGTCGGACTGTGTTTCGCCTTCCCATCAATCAATCAGACGGCTAGCACCACACTCCTCTCCTTAAAATCCCTGTGTGGTGGCGGCGTGCCGTCCTCCCACCCCTCCCTTGGATTGTCTGTTTTCTTTCTGCGTGGCGATCCAATGCCGCTTCCCTCACCCGAGGAGTCGGGCATGGGATCACCGTCGGTGGTGGCGACAGAATCGGACAGAGAAGACGAGGCGGTGGCGGGGCCGCGGCTGAAAAAGGCTAGGAGGGGAGGTCGGGCCCCGCGCCCGTCAGATGATCATCGGAAGGCGAACAAGAGGAAGAACTCAGAGGAGAGGGGAGCCTCCTCCGGAGTGAGGATGAGGACCTTGCGCGAAGGGGCCCTGAGCGGTGACGTCGTGTGAGTGTGCGTGTCGTGTGCATGTCTGGTGTTCATTATAGCTCCGAGTAGAGGGGGCGATCTGCTGCTAGGGGAAACCCGGAGCGCAGAGCCAACCCTCGGAGACCCGTGTTTACTTTACGGCCCTTTCCCTGCGAACGCGCACCCCTAGGGCTAGGGCTCTCTTGCCCGCAACCCGATCCCGATCATCCGGCCCGCTGGGTGCGCTTCTTAGCTCCCCGGCCCTGGATGTGAGGCTGCCAACTGCACTCCAAGTGCTCCAAGTGCTTTCTTTTTAGGTCCCAGGGATTCCTCTCGTATAGGACAAAGTTGCACCCGGCGGCACGGGGGCAGGCGCGGGCCTCCTACTGGTTGCGCTCTCCTATAGTTCTCCTGCTCCTGACAAAAGGGACAGCGACAGGTTCGCAGCACTGTGGACAGGTTGGTGTCCAGTCCGAGCCTGACTGTTCATCTGTTCTTCACCTTCCTACTGTATGTTGGTAGGGAGGTGATGAGGAGTCAGTTATGCGCGGCGGGCGGTTAGACGTTCCGGGGCGAATCGGGACGTTCCTACCTGTACCTGCGTTAATGCCAGTGCGCGCCAGTCCCGTGCCCCGTGTTGTGCGAGGGAGGTTTCCATACATACTCCCTATTCCACTGGCGATCTCTCTCGACTAGCGACCTTCCTCCGGCTTCTCACCGGCAGTCTCTCGCTATCAGGCACACTGACAGAGGCGGCCAATGTGTGAATTGGTCTGACTGTGTCTGCGCCTCTCCATGCGGGGGGGGGCAGGCAGTTCTCCAAGCTGCAGAACATGTGCGGGCCAGCGCCTATGACGCTCAAGGAGTGGTGCGTCTACGGGGAGGTGGGTTGATTTGGGGCAAAACGACAAAAGTGGGCCCGCCCGGGGCAAAATGGTAAAGTCAAAACTGTGCTTTCGTGCAGCCGGGTTGACGCGGGGCCTCGGATTTAGCCAAAGTGACCCATCGCGCAGCACATGACGACCGCCCACCGCTTGTGCAAGCGTGATCACTCGCTGCTGCCGCATCCATATGAAGTGGCGTCACAGTTCCAGGAGCGGACATTCTGCAGAGATGCAGGGAGGAGCTCAGGCTTGGGAGGAGCCCAGGCGCTTAAAAAAGCGCCAAGACAGGGGGGGTGCCACAAAGGTGTGGCGGAGAGGTGCCACCGCGGTGCCCACCGGTGCCACCGGCCTTGGAAGCCCGCCGGGCCAGCAGCCGCCAGCGCTGTCGCCACGCTGCTGGCCACGCCCGCGCGTACGCTGCCCGCGCCATCCTCCTGACCACCACTCTCTGCGCATGCACAGTTGTTGTCCGTTTTGTCGCGCAGGCCATGGTGAGGCCGTGAGAGTGCGCTGGCAAACTAGGAGTGCGCCATGCATTGCCGCGCCCGGCCAGCTCGTTCGCGAGCCAGTCCGGGGCGACGGTCGTCGCCACGGTCCCCTGGGGAACCTTTGCGTACACCTTGCTGGGGCCGCGTCGATACCCGTCGTCCCTCTCCGGGGGCAGCGAGTATTCGACCCCTATGTTGGACCCGGCCTGGCTGCGCGCCTGCGCAGCTGCAGACCGCAGCCCGGCCACCACGTACTCGATGTTCTCGCGCAGCTGCGCGCGCGGGGCCTCCGCGCGCTCGGCCTCGCTCGCGGCGCGCTCGCCAGCCTCCTTCGCCCGGCGCTCCTTCTGCCGGATCTTCTTGGCCTTGCGAGACGCGGTTCGAGCCGCAAGCTGCTCATCGGTGAGCTCCTTCTTCTTTGGCGCGGTGCGCTCGACGTACGAGCGCTCCGCGGCCTGAACCGACTCGCGGTCGCCCGCGGCCTTCTCGTGCTTCAGGTCGATCTCGATGGTCGCGTAGCCAGGCCTTATCAGCCTGACCTGCGACGCACCTGCGATCCTTGCGACCATCACCGCGTCCTCCAGTTGCACGCGATCGGAGCTATTCCAGCGTCCGCTGCGCATCCCCGGCGGCACGACGGTGGCCGGCGCTTGCGCACCAGCCCCGTCCGCCACCGGGTCCGCGGCCGCGGTCCCTATCATAGCTACGCGCGCCATGGAGAACGGCGGGCACTTGTGGGGGCGCCTGGCCCGCCCGTTTTGTTTCCATACGGCTTTGTACAGAAGGATTCAGACTTCAGGCATCGTATACTGAGGCCAAAGTGAGTTTGTGGATGTGTGAGAACGATGCGCGACACGAGGAGGCACGCGGACCGACTCGTCGGCGACTCTGAGCTGCAACGCCGTTTCAGAATTTTTCTCAGCGTGAGCGAGACGTGGAAGAGTGCCACCGTCGGGTAGGACGGGTCGGCCCGGAGCATCGGAGTAGCCGTCGTGGTCGCGGCGAGCAGCGCCGGCCACTCCGGCGCCGCGTCGGCAATATGGGAGCATGTCCACCGCCACTTCGCGAAGGTATATCTCGAAGGACGACCTAAGGAAGAGCGTGGCGGCGCGTCGCCGGGGGGCGGCGTGCTCGTGCTCTCGCCGCGAGATCGAGGGAAGGAGGGGGGGGGGGGGGGGGCTGCCCCCCTAAAAAACCCCGGGGCCAGGGGTGCGTTTGCCCCCCCCCCGCAAAAACCCCAGGGAGGGGGGGGGGGGGGGG